CAAAAGACGCAGACCCCGACTCAAACGCCGCTGCAAACCCCCTCCCCTGGACAAAGATATACATCCACCCCACCCCCCTCTGCACCGACGTGCTCGACATCTCCATCCCGAAAACACACCACGTCATCGTCGTGCCCCGCGGCGGATGCAGTTTCTCCGCTAAGCTGCGCAATATCCCATCCTTCCCCCCTGATGCGCTGGGTTTGCAGGTTGTGCTCGTTGTTAGCGAGGATGGGGATGGGTATGGGTTTGACGAAGACGTTGACGGTGGTGGTGGGACGACGAAAACCTCGCCCCTCGTTCAACCCCTGCTAGATGATACGCAGACTTCGCCCAGTGGACTGCTGCGCGTTCATCCCATTCCGCTGCTTATGGTGGGCGGCGGCGCCGAGACGATGGAAGCGTTGGGTCGTGCGCGCGCGGTGGGGGTGAGGAGACGCTGGTTTTTTAAGTGTCAGGGGGTGAGGATTGGGAATCTGGTTGTTCTTTGATGGGGGGGTTGGGATGTGGGGGTTGTAGTGGTGTAGGGTAGATGTGTGGACGTTGTTTATAGTATATCGATTCTGTCTTGCTTCGATATGATGGTTTGGAATGTGCGCTGGTTTGTAATTATTTCTTTTATACTTCACCTTCCTCACTTTCATTCTCATGTCATACCCTCCCCTCCCCTCCACTCCCAACAGATCACACCAAACACAATCGACGATGCAAGACCATACATCCAGTCCTTCCATCTCCACCGCACTTCTTACAAACTCTCTAGCCCCAACCCGCCAATCAGCCCCCTCCCCCCGATTCGTAACCACATATCGCGCCGTTAATGACGTCGCGCCAAGCTGCCTTGTTCGCGAGCCCGGTAAACTACATCGTGAACCTTGTTAAGCGTTCGGTAGACTGCCATGGCGATGGCGACAAGAACCCCATACCCATACACAATGCCACCAACCCCCTTCAACCCCCTTCGACCCGCATCAACCCACACCGTGAGACGCGCAAACACCCACCATGCCGCACAACCCCATCACCGCAGTCCAAGAGCATTCCCCAGCCTATCTCCGACACGATGCCACCACCTCAACCATCCTTCCACCAGTACACAGCCACCCTTCCCATCCCTGTACTCTGACTTTACTGTGTAGACTGCATATACTGTCCCTCATTCTCGTGATTAGCATCTCGTCTGGTATTCTGTATATCGACGCACTATTTTTGACGTGCAGTGCGATGACTATGGGTATGTTGAAATATGTGGACGTGGGAGATGGGTTGGGTCAGGGCTGAATACTGTGGATGTGGGTGGTCTGACGACGGTCTGGTGTGGGATGTTGGGAGTAGCGGCGGGTGGGGAGAGTGGTGGTGAGCGGGAGGTGGGCGGTTTGTGAAGATGGCGGAGGTGGTGAGGCGTTCAGGGGCTGGTGCGGGATGTTGGGGAGAGTTGTCGGGTGGATGGGGGGGTGTAGTAGTGCTGATTTGGGAGCAGCGGCGGGTGCGGCTCGTAAGGGGAAAGAGAAGGAGAAGAAGAAGAGCGTTTCCAACAAAACACGCCCACCATCCCAAAGACGAACCTCTCACTACCAAACAAAAACATCTTCCCCCCCACGCCCTGGGAGACGAAGCTCGCGCACATCTTCTTCGAGCGCGTGTTTAGTGAGCGAACTGCATCCAGAGAACCACGGCTACCTGTCGTTCAAACCCCCAAGGCCGCTTTCTGCAGCTCAGTGAACATCATCGTCTGGAGCTGGGAGGTGTCGTGTACCGCGCTCTTCTGGCCATTCTAGTCGAGTCCTGGTATGCCATCGGCGTGTTGTTCCTGGTCCCGTACGCATACGCATACCGCGAGGATGTTGAGCGTGTGCTCACAGTCGGGTGGTGTTACTCCGGATGCTGGGCCTTCTTACTCGGAGTTCTCAATCGGCGGACTGGACGCAAACTTCGTCCCCAAAGCGGAGACTACTACATCCAGCTCGTTTCGTTGCGGGCGTTCTCGCGTTCCTGGGCCAAACACAATTCCCCATTCCTCCGGCTGAGTATCTGGACACTGAAGAGGATCTGCGCCAAAGAATCGCGGTTGGGGAACACGCTGCGGTTTCTCCTCCAGCACCCGCGGCGCTGCTTCGTTTACTTGGTTCCTAGTAGAGGGATGTGGTACCTGCTCGCCACGCAAACCACCATTAGGGGTTCTGCTTCGTCATTCTGAACAGCGGCGTGTGAGACATCGAGGCCATCCATCCCCCTCAACACCCGCATCATCGACGGCGTCTTCCAAGCCACCGGCCTCCGCACAAGCGAGCGCTACATAACCGCCTTCAACCCCCTCGCCCCCGCCTGCCTCGTCGCATACACAGTCATAATGTACATATCCATCCCCCCCCCGCCGTGACCCAGCGCAAAACAAACACCTACGAAGAAGCCTCCATCGGACTTCTCGCATCCGACGCGAATGCAACAGGTATATCCCCGCACCTCCAAAGACAGCTCGCATACGACATCTACTTCCAGGTCCTCGCCTCCTTCTACTCTGCGTTATCAAGCGGGAATCTGATAAACTCGGCGATGGGCTTCTCCCCCTTCGCCCTGCTCTTCGAAGACACGTCTGCGTACGGGACTGTGGGGCTCAGCACGGGGATACCAGACCGAGAGTATAGTCTCAGCGGCGCGTTCTCGGCGCTGAGTAAAGTCATCGTGCTGCTCGTCCGGCCTCCCCCTCGCTATACATCGCAGTATCCCGCTCCAGGCGAAGAACTGATGCGGCGGATGGATCGGGAGTGCGGGTATGTCGAAAGGGGGGATGGAGCGGTACTGCAGAGCGAAACACCAACACAGCAGAGCGGAGTGCAGCAGCATCAGACATATTCCAAATCCAGCACCGAAGGCCCCGTAGATCCACACGTGCATTTCAAATAGGCAAAACATCAATACCAATATACTCCTTCCGTCCATCCTCCCGCTCCCCACGTGCCCATCTCGCGTATTATGTTCCCCTATATCCCACCTACCCACCATCTCACCCAGTCCAATCCACTCGCCTACACCCCCCCCCGTAAAACACACGCGTCCCACCCATCCATGCCTGCGACGCGACGTGCTACGTCTCACGGGCAGTAGCGCCGGAAAGGGAAGGTGGCAATTGTTGGGGGCAGGGGGGGAGCGTCGCTTGGAGGTTGTGCTGTGCTGGACTGGGCTGGACTGGACTGGGCTGGGCTGGGCTGGATTGGGGATGTGATGTGATGTGCGATCGGAGATATACGCGAAGTGGGGCGGAGGGAAGTGACGCGCTGCTTTGTCTGCACTGTCTGTTGTGTTGTGCTGTGTTGTGTTTTGGTGGGTTTTGGCGATTGGCGCGTAGGGGCATGGATGGGGTGCTAGTGGGACTGGGGAGGGGACTGGGGACTGGGGGCTGGGAGCTGGGGATTGGGGCGAGGGAGGAGCAAGTCATGGTATGTAGGGTAGGTCGTTTGCTTGATTCCTGGGGATACTTGAGCGGGGGACGTGTGTGAGCGTGCGGAGAAAGTTATGCAATGATTATGGAAGGAATTCATTGAGATCGTGGTGATTTACTATTCCGTAGGTTCCTATTCTACGCGTCCTTTCATCCATCCATCCCATCACCTGCCACAGCAACACGGTATATATGAGAAAGAAATAAAGATATAGAGAGATACAACTCGAAAAGTACCGACGTATCCCCAGCCCTCTCATCTACAGCCAAACAGCGCACTGTCATCTACAAGTCCCGCGGGTTCTTATCCTCAGTGAGCAAGCTCGCAATCGGCATATTGTCTCTCGGCGCAGAACTCCATGTGCCAGCCCGCGGTCGCCCGGTGGAAGGCACAGGCATCGGGAGCATATACGGCGTGCGCTCGGGGGCAGACACAGCGCTGATGTTCATCTGCTGCATGGGGCTGTAGTGCTTGTTCTGTTCGCTCGCGGCAGGCGACGGGTACGTGAACGGCGATGTTGTTGTCGATGTCGATGTTGATGGCTTGGAGACGAGGACGGGGTTGTACAGCACCGTGCCATCGGGCGAGGCGTCGGGAGTGGGAGGACGAACCGTGTTTGCGCCGTTGCGCCAGAGGTGTTCGAGGTGAGCGGGGGAAACGTCGGAGCCGTAGTCTGCTGCGACGGCGGCCCAGAACTGGTGGCGGCGGGCTTCGTAGATAGCGCGGAGGCGGTCGGTGTTGATGATTTGGGGGTGGTGGGCAACCTCGGTGTCGATGCGGAGGGCGGTGTGAGGTTCAGGAGATACACGGGGGGTGAGAATGTGGGGTCTGGGGAGGAGGATCTTGTGCTGCGCACGCATGAAGGTCGTGTCTGACTTTGATCTGGCGTGGGGACTGGTAGTGTAGCTTATTGGGGAGCACTGGCGGGGTGATTGCGTGCAGTCATCGTGGTCAGCCGCCATGGAGAAGGATGGAGATTGGCCGACAGAGACAGCGGACATGGTTGAGGAAACAGATGAGTTGCGTCTGCGGCGGTGGCTACCGTGCGATAGCTGGTGGTAGTGGAGGCGGCAGGCCAGCTCTGTTTTCTCAAGATGCGCGGCAATGTGCTTGTAAGGCATCTTTTGCAAGCGAGTTTGGAGAAGATAAGTCTCCTGTGAAATGTTAGACGAGTTTGTCACCAAGAACACGAATAATAATACCTCTTCTTCGGACCAAGATCTGTTTCCTGCGGCAGACATCTTTCGAGGGCGAACGCTGGTCGCGTTCGGTGACTGTGAGTGCGTCTCAACGAGAGGAGAAAGAACTTGTGGCTGGTGGTGAAGCATGGTAGCAACTGTTGCGATTCTAGACATTGTTGATGGGTGTGTGAACGAAATGCTCGTTGCAAAATGTATGTCAAACTTGTCGAGTCGTGTCTGGTAGGGATTCTATTGATCTTCTTTGGAATTTGCTCGTGAAAGAACGTATTGCGAAATAGGTGATGGTGTATAAATGTATTGCTCAGCAACGTCAATTAAAGAATGTAAGGCAGCCCAACCAGTGGGTAGTAAAAGAAAGTATTATAAGGCTGCGAAGGAACTAAAAGACTAACGCAGCTGAACAGAAGCAAGTGAAGCTTTGAAGCTCGGGGCATTCGATCAGTTATAGATTTGGGCCATGTCTAGAAACATGTTGTTCTAGGAGGCACACAGCAATACTGCTTAGCGCGGCGGGTCCTGATGTTGGGAATGTTTTCGAACTGTCAGTCACACTGTGCATTTTTCGAACATCACCGAGATCGATCTTAACGTCCGCAGCCACGATGTTTTGAAAACCCTGGATACGAGACGCGTTAGGCCGGAGGAGGATGGGATAGCTGTAAGAGCGCGGCCTGGCCTCCTAGGGATTCGCGGGTCAAAGGATTCGCATGAATTGACCAGGCCTTTTAGGAGACATCGGAAGCAGTTTCAAAACTGGCTATGTGTGGAGAGGGTGGGCCGCGCTGCAGTTTGGGAGAGCTGACATATCGAAACTTCAAAGAGCCTGGAACAAGATTAAGTTACCCCAGAGTATATCAAACAGCGGGCGCTAGCTGAATGACAGGTTGGAAAAGGACAGTGCGCTTTGATCATATCTCCGCTCTGTTCAAGGGACGAGGTGGTCGTGAACGGCGTTGCAAGATATTTGAAATTCACACTGTGGCCTGTGTGAGGAAGAATACAATTGTAGAACGAGGAATTCGAGAGGCGACGCGCAATACGATGACATGGTGACCAGGCCGTCGTTGGTATTATGAGACGAGCGAAACGGGAGCAGTCGGAACAGTCGTGTTTAGTCTGCTGTGGAGGAAACACTTCGCAAGGCAAATTTCAGGCCCATACATGTGGTAATTGACTTACCGTGGGCGATAGCGCTGCGCCATAGCTGTTCCGTCAAACGCGTGCTGATACTGCCGTTGCGTCAAATGGCTGGGAGCTCCTCTTGGCGTCGATTTCGCAAAGGTCTCACGCCCCATCACGAGGAGGGCGGCAGTTCAACGGCGAATGAGCAGATTAAGCTGTCTTCCCCGCTCTGGACTCTAGATGGATGCAAGCGCTGTTCGTCTGGCAGTCGTTGTATTCTGCAACCTGCTGCGCGGAGCAGGCCAGGGTTGTGGGGTTTCGCGATGCTGGATAGACCAGCGAAGTAGACACAATATACACAACCGAGGGCGTCATTGGTCGAGGGATAGAATTCGATGATATCGCATGGGCGCTGTCGACGTGTCTACGCGCTGTGCGACGTTTGGCTTCATGTGGTGATGTAGTTGCGACTTCCCCGTGTGTCACTGACCGATGAGTTCGGGAAGGCACGAGCAACAGCCCCGCGATGTCAGCATCATTTCTCGTCACCACCACCGCGGCGCAAAGTTGCGTAGACATCATGTCCGCGCCCCATGACTGCTGCGGGCTATCGAGGATGGCTGAATTAGCTTCGATTCCACCGCGAACGTCGACGGCTTTTTGACGACAGCTATTCCCTCCACCACGCATCCCGCGATATCCTTCCGCCACATGGTACCTACCTCTACATCGTTCCGTCATGGCTGGATCGGCAGCGGGTTAAATCACTCGCATAAAAGCTCAAGATGCGTGGAGCTGTCACGCGCTGGCTGCACATCCCCCGCCTCTATCTGTAGACTTGTCTTCTCGTCCCCGTAGCTTTGAAGCCACCTGCTGGCTACCCCGCTTCTTGTCTGCAGCCTATCTATGTACCCATACCTCCCTCATCACTAGGGATCAAAGACCATGAACGTACCAATACATCACTTCTCAATTGTGGCGGCTACGACGATTGGTACTTGCCCGCTTAACATTACCGCATCCCAGCCGTCCTCCACACTCGTGCCTCATCGTTCCTCCCATTCGCCCATCTGCCTGCGAACCTGACCCATCTTGTATTTCTTGTACTTGATCACCGCTTGCACCGACGGCCGATCTGCTTACTTGGATATCATGGTTGTCCACTGTCGCCTTCAATCTGACCGTCGTAACCTTTGAGAACGACCCTGAACCTTGGAATATACGAGCATGACACCACACTCTGCCTATGAGCTCATCCAATCTTAGCAGTGAAGTTGTCTTGTGCCTCTGTCCGCCTCGTTCAGATCAAAACGCCCTCATTCGCCGCCATGACGTGAGTCTCTTTCGGTCCAACAAAATCTACTTTCACGTGGTTCTCGGCCACGCGTAGTTCTGACTTGCCGCAAATGCGCTGACACAGGACTTTGTTGCACAGTTCTTCTTCGCCATCCACCAAACGTAGCTTGAGGCCGTCTCCATTTTCGGCGAGCCAACAGCAACCCTCTCAGTACACTGCAGTCCCGGAGCTGCCCAGCCTGCAGCCTGCTACTCCCACCACCACAGCAAGACAAGAGTCCCCAACCGCCATGTCGCAGCCAGTTACGGCAAATCGTAATAAACGAAAGTCTATGCATCCGAGTCAACCACAGGAGCAAGCGGCCAGCTCAGCAGGCAGCGCAGAGGCGCAAGCAACAAGCGCGAAAGCTTCCCAGGTAGCTGAAGTCGACCCTCCAGCGTCAGAACAAAAGACAAAAAAGAGTCGAACAAACACGCCTTGGACGGCGGCCGAGGAATTAAGACTCAAACAGATGAGAGACGCGGGAAACAGCTGGAGTGAAATCGCAAAGGTACGGATATAGTAAAGACGTGTTACTTCGAGGTATCACGAGATGTGTGAGCGCGTTCGCCACTGACTCATGCCGCTACTCCAGACGTTCCCGCAACGAACAGAAGGAAGTGTGAAGAAGCATTGGTACAAAGTAGGTGCTACATTCAAACGGCTCCACTGCGCAACCACTGATGGAAGCCCAAACAGGATATGCACTACGCCGAATTTGCAGAGGACGAGGTGAGTCTTCACTTACAACTCAGGTGTCTGAGTGGTCTCGCTGTGTCCGCATGCTAACTAGAGAGGAAAGAGCGCAGCGTTGCTTGCCGCTATCAAGGAGTACGACGCCAACAAGTGGAAAGCCATTGGGCAAAAGGTTGGCAAGCCTGCAAAAGTAGGTCCCGATGCGTTCTTGTGTCTCGTCGCGTGGTTGAGGGCTTTTCGGCTAACCAGCAACAGGCATGCGAGCAGTATGCGAAGGAGCATTTCGGGGGGAAATACTGAACAATTCATGACCACAGTCTGCAGCTTTCCGAATTTAGCGCAACAAGCTCGCTCTACGATACCAGCCTTCCTTTCCCTGATCAAGTGCTCCATGTGCAGAGCTTCTGTCGGCATCCGTTTGTCTTCTCTTACGTTTTGGAGTCTGGTTCCCGGCAATGGAGTTCACGAGATCTACGGTTATTCCCTATTCCGTTCGATACCTGGACGTTTGGCCGTACTGGCGAGCGACCGTTTTTCTCTTATGTCTTTCTCTTTCTTGGCCTGGTAATCGAGGTGGACTGGACTTAATGTTGATCTTCACAAAGTATCAAAGCAGCCACTCTGTCCGTCACAACGGCAGATCCAAACGAGCGTAGGGATGTGTAACCGGTTCGTGTATCAGTCCAACTTACTAATCAGCGATGTAACCATGCCTTGCCTCACCATGCGGGTCGTCGCGTCTCGGATACCTACAGCAGTTCGCATCGAATCTTTTGTCAAGTCACCTTGCGCCAGTCGATTCTCTTCCTCGGTACTCTAGCTTATCGGCCGACGTTGGTGAACAGCAGACTGCTCGTAACACGTACAGGTTGTGTGCCGTTTGCGTAACGGATTTCAGGCACAACTCAGTACGTTGAAGGTCGCATTGGCTCTCTTACTGTTCCGACCAGGAGCCCTCCCAGTCGGGACGTGGGAGAATACTAGCGAGTTTACGGGTAAAGTAACTCCAATGAGCCGAGTTTTGCGGGCAATGCGCTGTGTTGTTGTCGGAAAGCCTATCAATCAGCCGGGTACTGTATCGCTCATGATTTGTCGCTATCCATGACCTCCTTTCAAGCATTTAGCCAGCACACGCTTCGCTCAGAATAAGGAGGCGGGGAGCATGGTAATTGTCAGCGCGTCTAAAGTGAGTCGGTTAATTGCAAACGCATGGACTCCAACTTGCCACTGGTCAGACTCACGATCAACCCCGTCCGCCCAAATTTGTTGAGATAGCTAACGCCTGTGGACTTCTTGCAAGGACGGAACAAATCAAGTCCGTGAAGTCCAAGAAGCTGTAGCTCCGGTAGGGAGATCCCAGATAGGGATTGGCCGAACGCTGTTGTGTGGCAGCTCTTCAGTATGGAGGTTTAATGTTGTTGCCGGTCGCCCTTCGAGGTTGTTTTTCCACACATGCTGTCGGATTCCGTATGGTAACTCTCTGAGCGGACGTTGTGCGGCGCGATCCTGTAGCCTCTTCTCATCCTGGCGACTGCTGTCAAGGGGATACGAATGCGATGTTCAGTGGAGATGGGTTGTAGGGACGCCAAGCCGCGAGTGGCCTTTAACCAGCTTACAGTTAGATCGCAAATTCACTGCTACGCCTCACTACTCCTCGCTTCCTGTGTCATCTCCACAGCACCCTGGTCTGGCAACGTTCGTCTATCACCATCTTCAGCCCAACAGTCAAAAATTTACGCTGCGCATCGGACATTGCCACCGCGTCTGCGCGTTCCAGTTGTGCTTCTGTGGGCCTTGCGGTGCCCTGTTCGTGCGTCACAAGGCGTTCGGGATGTCCCTTTGGCTCGGTTGATTCTCGCCGATGGGGAAGATGAACGGCATATAGGCATGGGCTTTTTTGCTATACCCCAAACATCTAGTGTATGAGCCACTCCGAGTCGTCGCCAATGTGTCAAAGTCTCATGACGAAGGCTTGCTAACGCTCGGTTCATTGCTTACAATTGTGAACTACGGGAAAAAGCAGAGGGCGCCGCTGCCGAAGTCTTACCGCTATCTGAGGTTTTTAGGAATGCGAAGCAAGTTGTATAGCCAACGGTAGCGGCGGCGCACGCGTAGGGCACAGTTGGTGCATCAACTACCGCCAATCGAAGCAGATGGCACGATGACGCCGTCGCAGTGATATTCGAACTCAACTGCATGATCATATCCAGCCCGAACCGAGCCTCTCTCTCTATAGTGCTGCGTTCCGCGTCTTTCTACTTCAACCCGACAAAGATACAGTTTTCTTGCCCATAGCGTCATCGATTGGGGTAATCATACACCCTACCCCTGCGATTTGGCGCGCTCGTCCTAACCCGTTCAGACCTCCTTCAATGCACATCTCTTGGCCACCGGCAGCCTCAGGAGGCGGCTTGCGAACGTTGTAACGGTACTGGAGATCTCTCAGGTGGCATTCTAGAAATAGAACCACGACGGTATGGTACTACATCCCCCTAACCGTCTGATCGCTTTGTTATTTTGGACAAGGTTCTTCTTACCGGTAATTTACCCCGGCAGCCACTCAGCACACAAGTTCTCCAGTGGCAGTACACTGGTGTAAACGACCAGGAACCCCTGCCAGATCTTACGTCGGGGACCCCTTCATTGTCAAGGACCACTGCATTATGTTTTGACGTGGACCTCAACTCCCGGCCTTCCCTGTTTGGTCAAATCCAGCTTGTTCAGGAACAGATACTGTTTCGTGGGGGATGGCTCCAAGATTCTAGTGTCTGTGCAAGCTCTCTGTGTGGCAATCACACAAGACAAGGATCTTTCAAGGCATGTACTTCCCAATTTTCGAGGCCTTGTCCATCAAGCATGAACAACGCGTTATATCTCAAAGCTTTTCCAACCGAACCCCTCTTTTGGATTGGTATTTCTTGAAAGTCTGTGTCCTGATATCCCGAGACATAAGAGACGCACTAAGGCTACGTTCGATGAAGACATTATCCATCTCTTTTCGCATCGATATCGATATTGATTTATACACCAGACGCCAAGTTTTTCACACATCTGCGACAAGTCTACCTTGTGTCGACACACAAACTCAAACTGAGTATCCTTCTCTGGCTCAGGTCTCACTGTGGCGGCCTATCAGAGCGAGTTAGCTCTGGTAGTCTCCATGCATATCTGCAACACTGGCGAGTTCCTATAGAGGCCCTTTCCTCGACTACAGCTTATCAAGTGATGCCGGCGAGGAAAGCCATATTCCGACGTCAAACGTCGAACACCAAAATGTCCTCCATGCTCATGGAGAACTGCCTACGAATTATCACCATTCGTATTTGCAACCGCATCCTTCTCAAAGTCTTCAACATGCAGGCGCTATCAACCTTCCCACATACACAGATGTCGCGACGCATCCACCGATGTATCAATCCCAACTCCTGCGCCATCAGTCGATGTCACAGCAGAATCCAACTTCGTACGACGTTGGCTATGCTTCAAACTCTCGCCAGAGCACCGACAGAAAGCGCGGCTATGCAGAAGAACATTTGCAGCATGAAGATCCAAACATGAGGCAGCAAATCAGTACTTATGGGCAAGCCACGGGAAGCGTCTCACTCGGCCAACCCTCTCAAGGATATCCATTCCAAGAGCACCCGCCTCTGGCAGCCACACAATCCGCCCTACCTCCTACACATCATCACCACCTCCCCAGTACACATCGCGACAAGAGACAACGCAGGGAGGGCTCTCCTCCATCGCCCACCCCTCAACATGGCCCTCCCAGTGTTGTTGGCCAGCAGGGAATGCCAAACCCAGCGGCCCGACCGCGCGGTCCAAAGCTCAAGTTTACCAATGAAGACGACCAGCTCCTCGTCGACCTCAAGGAAAAGAAGAACCTCACCTGGAAGCAGATTGCCGATTTTTTTCCCGGCCGCAGTTCTGGCACACTGCAAGTCCGATATTGCACCAAGCTCAAAGCGAAGACCACAGTCTGGACCGATGAAATGGTAAGTGCCGTCCTTCTTTGAAACACACGACTTCGACACCCACAACGTTGTGTGTTTCATCCACTGTGTCGGATCGGCTAACCGCAATGGGGTGACAGGTACAAAAGCTTCACACCGCTATGCACGAGTATGAAAACGATCGTTGGCGTATTATATCCTCCAAAGTCGGCAGCGGCTTTTCGCCCGCGGCGTGCAGAGACAAAGCGCTCGAGTTCGACGCGGGAGAGCCGCCTGGCGAAGACCAAGAGCAGGAACATAGCGGCTACGCGGATTCGCCTACAGTTGCTGGCGGGCCTAGCGATCTAGGCCCACCTTATCAATGATTGGTCGATCACCTCGCGTCTTCCTACGCGATGGAGTAAAAGTCATGGCTGATGTACGGAGTCGCAGGGCTGTGCTGATCATGACAAACCGACCAGGAGCGTGTCGATCGGAGCATTTGCCGAAGTTCCTGAATCGTAGACTATTTCGTTCATCCCATCTATATCCAATACATGACGTATGCCGAGTTGTACCGGCTTCTTGTTTGCGATGCATCTTTTCAAGCAAAGCGAGAGTTGCGACTGGTGAGCACAGATGAAAGGAGCTTTTACGTTTTGCTGATAAGCAGGACCAGTTATTCGAGTCATGAGTATGGAACCACACTGTTACATACACAAGGACCATCGTTCGATTGTTGCAAGTTATGCTGCTCTAGATCCACCCAGACGGTTTTACAAATTCACATCAATTATGAAGTTGCGGTGTGATCAAGTTGCATACAGAGTACGTTTGAAAACAAATCCTGATTCGAATTCAGAAAAATCGTCGTCAAGGATCAACCAATCTAAACCATCATGTTCCGCGGCTTGACATATCTTGGCAGAATGATTTTAAGGTTCCTTGATGAACATGCGTTCTCCGTCTCGCGTCGGACGGCTGCCTAAACAAACTGTGTCCCGTTCGCAAGGCAACAATGACGCTAGCTGCACAGACCATATGTGGCTGGTGGTTGCGACGAACATAGGTTGCTGGCATCTCTGTTGCATACACATCCTCTCACACATGCACGATGGGGTCCTGGGAGTACTACTGTGCGCTCTGCTCTGGGCCGTTAGGGCTTCTTAATATCCAAATTGGGTCATATTCGGCGGTAGCGTTGGGGAAGCGAAGGCGGAAAGTAGAGAAAGAGAAAAGAAAAAGAGCTAGAGAGGCTAGAGAGACGGAGGTTGGAGAAGATGTGGGAATGAGTGATGAGGAATCAAGCGAGGATGAAGTGGTCGTTGACGAGGTGGTGAGAAGTGATCAAGGAATGATTACCGAGCCACAGGTTGAAAATGACCTAGTCGACGACACGGTGGAGGACGAAGACAGCGAAAACTCACGGAACTCTGAAGACGAAGATGGAGATGCAGATGTTGTGTCCCAGTCTTCGAAGCTTAGTTGGTCTCAGGCTTCGGACCTTGACAAGCACGGTTGGACCGGTCTGATTCATAATGACCCACATGACACAGATTCTATGCGCGAGTGGGAGGAAGAGCAATCATACGATCCGACAAAAGTGAAAATTGAGAGTTTGCAATGGATCGACAGGTGCAGGTGTCTTGGATTCAACCCAGAAGCGCAAGGCATCACGAAGTAACCAACCTCGTGACCAACATTGATGTCCAAATACTGACTCACTGCAGAGCGTTCATATCCGGCCGTGGTCGGTACACCGATTTAGGAGAATTTGCAGTCGAGCGGCCCGGCAGTGATCCAAACGACACCAAGGACACACAACATTATTGCTACCACTCGTGGGATTCCGGCGAGGAGGTCGCTTTCCCTTTTCACGAGGCTTGCTATGATATTCTGGCACGCAGTTTGGGCTACACCCACTCGAGAGATATCGACAAGGATTTGATGTACAGCGTCATGGCGCAAAACTCCGCGGGTGACAAGGGTGGTCTCGAAGTGGACTATGGATCGACTCGAGGCGGGGAGCAGTTCTGGGAGTCTCGATCTGGTGAAGAGGTTTGTGACCTGCTTGAACAATTGGGATTATTTCAATCGCTTACTGAAGTTCGTAGTATCTAGTATGTGACCCCGGCCCAACTACCGGACTCCAAAACGTGTTGCAGAGCATGCTGCCCGCCAAACTCTTTGACAATGATTCAACGCCGCTGGAATTTTCGCACAAGGTTCACCAGGACCCGTTGTCTATTCTACCATACGATGTATTGCACGGCGTCTTCGAGTACATGTCGTTGAAAGACACTTTGTCGCTCATGCAGGCGTCTTGGTATGTATTCACTTCCACGAGGGAACCCGCTTTCTGGAAACAAATGATGGTTCTGCAAATCTTTCCCTGGTTCTGGGAATCCCGAACCCTGCTCACAGACACCATATACCCTCCAGACTTCGACTTCAAAGGCTTAGTTTTGTGGTTGGACAAGGCAACAACACCCGAATTCGGCTTGGCAGGACCGTTGAAGGGCATTGCAAACCGCCGACGAATCTGGAATGTCTGCCAGGAGCTCGTCACGTATTATATAGAGAAAATCTTTCCCGTTGAAATTATAGAACCGAACGACGAGGACGTAAAAGCCATCCTTGATGGTGCCAGGTCCCTTCACATGCCTGCCTTCATGCACCCGCAACCCGAATCCACTAGCACGGTTCACGCGCAGCTCATTCAGTCTTGGGGCGAGATCGCACATCGAACTTCGGACTTGGACACGTACTGGACCGAAGACGGTGCTCTTGTAGGTATTGCGCTAACCTTCGGCTCCGAGCAGAGAGTGTTTGGTTCTACGACGAAGCACAAGTGCCATTCTTTGCACATCCCATCAAGAAACTGGATTACTGAGATCAGGGTCGGTATAAACGAAGTGGACTTGTCCAACGAAAACTGGAGCAACCCTTGGCATGAGCAAGGCACAGGCATCAGAGATATCATCGCTATCCGCAGAATAAGTGTACGCCTGTATCTTTCCCACTACCTTCCCTAAAACCAAGCTGATACAGCCAGATCACTCTGGCGTCGGGCAAGACCAAAACAATGTCCTGGCATAATAGAGCAACGGCCGAGCGCTCCCTGAGTGTCCTCCCAGGTATGCATCTCATCGGCCTCACCGGACGAACTGCACCCGTAAGTCGACACTACCCAGGCGAATCACAAACTACTAACATATTCCAGAGCGGCGTTATAACCCATCTCGGCCTCCTTCAAGCCCCTGCCCCATCTTTCCCCTCGTCCTCATGCTCCCTCTCCCCGAAATGCCCATCCGCCCAACTCCGCCTCTGGGCCTGTACATCCATACGAGCCCCCCACAACGGCGCCATGCACCCCATCTGGTCGCATCCAACCCTCACCGTGCACGATCTGCCCCCATCCGTCCCCCCGACACTCTTCCCCGCAGACATCCTCCCGCACCAAGCCCTCCTCTGGGCCCAACGCCCCGCGGAATACCAATCCCTCATGCGCATCTCCGTGCTGCAAATCCCCATCCCCACCGGCATCGCCCCCGATGGTACCCTCCGCACAACACCAGACATCGTCGCTATTCGCCCAGGCCACAACTGGACCTTCGGCACCCCAAGTCATATCGGCATACAGGGCCCTGTGCCCGCCCAAGATCCCGCATGGAACAGTGCTTCCTCCGCTCACGACCTGCCTACCCCCAGGAGCCTGCACGAGAAGTTTAAACCCTTCGACGACGCGTTTACGCAGCACTTCGCCATCGACGGGCCCGGCGGCGAGGTCGTGACGGAAGTCCATGTCAGCGAAGACGTGCGCGCGTTCAAGCTGCGCACGAATCGTGAGCGGGAGGGGCATTTTGGCGCCCAGAATGTTGGGGGTGGGTGGGCTGTCAAGAAGGCAGAGGAGGGTGAGTTAGTTGTTGGGTTGACAGCGTGTTTTGGGGAGGCGAGCGGGTATGGGCATGTGGCGAGGAGGTATAGTCATTGGAGGCTGACGGAGATGGGGGTTCTGACTGTGAGGATTGATGGGGGACGATGAAGATGTATGTATGCTATCAGTTCCTCAACGTCGGGTTCTGAGATGGTGTGGTTTACGCATGTAACGCTATGATTTGTATACTGAGGGCATGATGCTACTGTATCTATTTCTTTTTCAGCTACTACCCATCTTTATTACTTCCATTGACAAGACACTCTACCAATCTAGCTCTATTAACACTCTACATCTATTAACACTCTACCTCTATTAACACTCTACCTCTATTAACACTCTACCTCTATTAACACTCTACCTCTATTAACACTCTACCTCTATTAACA